ATCCTCAGCATCCTTCTAAAGAACATATGTTACTTCAGTTATCCTTTTCATCAGCTGAAGAGATTGTCCAGCATTAAACTGCTATATCGGGGGATTGATATTACATAGCCCATCACTCTTTTCTTTATTTTCAGCGAAATACTTTGTTTAGCTTTTGGAAGGAATCTTTCGCTGTTCAACGCGCCTTGGGATTTGTGTGTCAAATTTTTTGTCGTCTGTTAAAACAAATTCCCGACAGTTAAATTTCTTTACGCACTTCATTCTGACGTCACAAACTTGTAGCGAGCACCTTTGGCTGTTCATCTTTTTAACTATCAAATATAACCTTATACTTACCGGAAAGAATTACACGGCTTGATATTTAAGTATTAGCCATTTTGTACTAGCCATTTGCTTCTCCTCAGTTTTACTTATAGACAGTTCTGAAATAGTAAAATTTACCCAAAATATCAAGTGATCAAATCTCATTGTTTAATGGACTAAATTTTCCAATAATGTAAAAATGTTTCATCAAGGTACTAAAATTAATAATTCCGACTCTTATTACAAGATAACAATAACAAAATATAAAAAATGGGAATGATAAATATATCACGTTGTCTTCGGATTTATGCATCGTTTCAAGATTTCCATGACTGAAATGGTTAAGATGATGTCCATGAAAGAAAGCTTCGTGTGATACAACTCGAAGTGACTTGCATTTCTGGTTTCATATTGCTTATTTTTTTTTTAATTGTTTTGTAATCCCCGTTTGTAGGAGATACTTTGTAAGTCATAGATACACCAACAGTAACGCCTTCGAACAATGCAAGATTTATTGTATAAAATATACAATTTTGGCACAAGGCCTAAAGGAAGGTAATCCCCACTTATTATCCTATACCTAGCTCATCCAATTGACGGCCCATTCACTCGTTACAATTTGCACATCCACCAAAAGAACCCATCCGTCTCCACTCAATTCTTCATATACCATAATACCACATACACTCAGGAGACCTACAAAACGGACCACATGACATAAAATTTCATGATGATAAATATTGTATATATAAAAAATCTATATGTGATTTACAATGAGCGGAGAGGGGTGAACCCAAATAACAAACTAAAAAATCAACACAAACAAAATAAAAATAACTGATGTTAGTTGGACCCGTCCAACCTTCAAAAGAGAGACCGCTATATTCTGCCTTTAAACAAAATCAAGAGGCATAATGCTTTGAGTTTTTTTATACTGACACCGTGACGCATTTAGTGGTCTACCGGTATGTTTTCATTTTTTTTTTAAATCATCCCATTTCTGTTTATATATGAGAGAGGATAAAATAAATACGACTATGGGGAGAAAAGAAAGCTGACCCAGTCGAAATGAAAAGGGGAGGAGGCAAAACAAACTGGGACCTGAAGACAGTGGTAGAAGGCGTGCGACGCCGTTTCTTCTAAGCCAAGGTCACATCGCTGACAGTCTGGCAAATCCGCCAAGCCCCATATGAAGGCCTTGTCATTGAGAGCCTATTCCGAACCAATCGCTATGTAAGCGAAAACTCAAAGTTACTGAAGTAATCCGCCGTTGGCGTCCAAGACCAAAAGGAGTGAAACTCGTCCGCCGAGAAGTCGAGCCGTTCACATAGTGCATCTTTCGCGACCCCCTCGACTAGTTCACGATAGAAGACTCTCCTAGGGCAAGAAAGGTCACTGGACCGAGGAATGACCCTCAAGAGTGATCGACTCTTTTGAAGGAATCTCGATTCATCCCGAGGCCTACAACGGCGCTCAGCCCGCGAGATGGGAGGAGTGATAGCAAGGGAACGCGTCCCTCATGTTCCCCGCCAAAATCGAGTCCCTTGTCAATGCGCGGCGTAGGAAAGTCAGCCTCGAGGCGACTTTGCGACTCTCCAAATGCGGCATTTCCAGCCCACGTGACACGACGATGATGCTTGCGTCCCCCCTCCCCCCCCACACACAAAACCAAGGATAGCAAGCGCCTGATCGCCTTCTTATACTCCTTACAGTGAGGAAGTACAGCCAAGTGGTAAAGGACAAGAGGAAAGACGTAAGTGGCACACGCCTCAGACCTGCCCTTCAACGACAACCTCCTTCGGCGCTAAGTCCGAACCGCCGCGCCGACCTTAGACTGTACTTCTGACCAATTTGGAGGTCGGATCCAAACCACACTCAGATAATGCGGATAGGACTGTCCATTCAACCAAAGGGCCACGGAAGATCCCCCCCCCTTCAAGGCACCTAACCGCAAGCCGGAAGATTTGTGGTGGGTAATCTTGGTCCCTGTCACCTTTTTGTACCGTTGAAGAACCTTCAGTACCACCTCAATGCCGCTGCAGGACGACACGAAAGTAGATACATCATCGGCGTACGCGGAAACCCTGGCTCGAGCTCCACCTTGGACAGTGATCCCACGTAGAGCCGGACTGCACGCCCTGTCCCTTAGCCGGCGAAGGAGAGGCTCCAACGCCAAAGCTTAAAGTAGGGGCGACAGTGGACAACATTGACGAACCGACCGAGACAGAGTAAAAGCGTGCGACAGCTTCCCATTCATCTGTACCACATCACTGGGAAAGCGATACAGGGGGTAATCCACTTAAAGAAGTCGGGTTTTAATCTGGCGGCCTGCAGGACAGCAGCCAGATACCGATGATCAAATGCCTTGGACTGATCCAAATTGATCAGCGCGGCTTGCTCGTCGACTTTTACGCCCCTAGAATCGCGTGATCAGATGCAGGTTGCTCTGAATTGTTCGGCCCCTCACAGCACAAGTGTGATCGGGTTCCAACAGACTCTCGGCAACTGACTGTAAACGCTCCGTCAGGATCTTGGCCAAAATCTTTAACTCTGTGTTTAGCAGAGTTATGGGCCTGTAATCATCTAATTCCAGTCCTCCATCCTTGCCCTTTTTCAACAGTGTGATCACACCCCTGGTGATCCGACTGGGGATGGACCCCTGCCGGAACCAGTTGTTGAACACGACAGTCAAAATCGGCACAAAGATGTGCGATAGCCTAAAGTACAATTCATAGGGTAAACCATCAAGTCCCGGAGACTTGGCACTGCCGGCCCTCTTCAATGCCAAGTAGATTTCGCCCACCGTGATCTCACCTTCACAGCTAGCCGCTTCAGTCGGCGAAAGCCGAGGAAAGTCAACCAAATAACCGCGAAACTCTTCAACTCACACATGTTGTCAGTACGCCCCTCTGGGGTTTTGACCTCACGAATGTATCGATCGGAACCTCGACGGATCTCTTCCTTGCACAATTGTGCGCCCATGTTCACGGCTTCGTTAGACATTTTGTTTAACCTTTGCCTAACTACCTGACATTTGTAGCGCCCGCTCGTCGACCGTTCAAGTGCCTGCCTAGCTAAACCTCTCGCGATGGAATTTTTCCTTTACCCGTCACATGATATAATTATTTCAAGATGAAGTCGATTGTGCTTGCTCTCTGGCGATCCGTGTTCAAACCGAAGTGTCGGCAATGACACTTTATTCCTATATGACAAATCGGTTCACCAGGAGCAAGGTGATAATGCCACTAAGACGCAAGTGGTTACTGGGAATGAAAGAAAATGAGAAGACGCTAGTGAGGAGAAAGGACAATAAAAGAACAGGATTCAAGAAAACAGAAGATTGTGATTGACGTTCCACTTAAATTTTTGAAGATCGTAGGTAGCATAGAAGCAAGAAACTGGCAGTGTTTCACAGGCGAGTATTACAAGAGAAGAATAGAACTTACGGTTATATCTAGCTATTTCAACAGTAAATCGATGAGACCTAGCAGCCAATCTAGTAGTGCGTTTAAGTTGACGCCATCGAGGTGCCAGAGCTGAAAGCTCATGAAAACAATTGTCATGGTCATATCTATTGAAAAGATTGGCGGACGCCATATCACGACGTTCAGAAACTATAAAAGTAATAATTTTTATGCTTATCCTGGCACTTCCTCCCACATATATTTGTGTATATTAATATTATATATATATATATATATATATACTTTTAAAATGTCCGTTTTTTTAAAGCCTTGACGATCAAATAGTCCCTCCACCCCCTTACAAAAGAAATACGTTATAAAAAGATGAAATAAATCTAATAATAAAATAAGGATTGAACTGTTTTTATTTTATTTATCAAACTTAAGGAGTGTTGTTGTCATATCTTGGCTGGATTGGACCATTTGCCGCCGTCCATCCTTGATAGATTTCAAAAGTGTTTGCTCGACTTTGTGGGTGATGAATTTATTTCTCACTCTGATTTTTCCCTCAGATGAAATATTGCTGGCCTCTTGTTACTTCATCGCTATTTTCGTGACTAATGTTCGGATGGAACTACATTCTTTAGCCAATCAGAAACAAGGGAACGGTCGTCATCCGTACAAAGATCATTAAAAGAATCTAAGGGAACAAAATCAAACAAACAAGCAGAAAAAAAGAAGTTCGAAGAACAAAACATAAGAAACAAAATGCTAATATGCTGGAGAGCATAGAAAGTATGGACACTTCACCCTCTAAACACAAATTAGACAAGTAAAAGAAAACACAATGAAAGTGTAAAAATACGTTTTAATACCAGAAATACTTTTAAAAAAAAAATTATTACCAGCAATACAATTTTTGAAAAAAAATATATATTACCAAATATACAGTTTTGAAGAAAAAAATAAATAAACATTGCCAGCTGTACATTTTTTGAAAAAGTTAAAGAAGTATTACCAGCAATACATATCTGAAAAAAAATTATTACCGGAAATAGATTTTTTTGAAGGAAAAAATATTACCAGAAACAGATTTTTGAAAAAAAAAAAATATTACCAACAATAAAAATTTTGTTGGCATTAAATAACCCATTGAGGTTGATATACCGTAAACCAAACCAAACCAAACCAAAAGCATAGACCTTCAAAGCTTGGTTTGATTTGTTTTCACGTCTTATCAACCCTCTGTGGATTTTCTAAAGTCGAAAAATATTTCTGATTGTAGAAGGTTGCTTACAGTATCCGGTGTTCCCAAACGATCCCCCCACTTAAGTACTGACTGGACTCGATGTTGATTAACTTCGGTGATCGGACGAGAACCGGTGTTTTCAGCATGATTTGAACGTATTCAGAGCTACAACTCGCCATGTCACGTACCCAGTTAAATCATCCTCATTCCCTTCGTATTTCATTGGTAAGGAAAAAGTTCCATTCGAACAGCGTCTCTCCACTTTCCCCTCTCAGAACAATCATTTTGTAAGACAGACTTTCGAGAGGATGTTTCATCGATCACTACGATCTTAACCACTCCAAGTCAACCATTATCTATCCTACATATCTTCATAACATTTACTTCTTACTTCCTCCCTTTGCGCCCTTACAGCAACCTTATTAACATTCGTCCATGCATTTAACATTGCTGCCACATCTGGTCTGGTCTTGTACTTCTGCTATGTATTTAAAAATGATAAAATTGATAAATTTTGTGATATCAATGAACATTCGGTTGCCACTTTTGTAATGTCAACGAGTACTCGTTGTACTTTCGTAATGCTCGTTGTAGTAGAGACTTTGTAATCGCAGATACAGCTATAGTACTCCGTTGAACAATGATGGTGTCAGACGCCTTCGAATAGCACCCGCATTAATAGTACTTGCTCGATAATACTCGTTCGAAAAGTAACCACCGTATAGTGATCTGAATAGAGAAATAGTATAGTGAATAGAGTAGAGAATAGCGACCCGTATAGTAATAGAGGTTAGACTTCACGCTACAACCTACTGACGCGTTTCTCTATGATCACGTGATCCACTTAATTCAATAATGGGATCCTTGTTTGTTCTCTGGCGATCTATGTTCAAACTCAAGTGTGGACAATGATACTTTATCGCTATATAACAATAAAATACAAAGAATCTGCAATGTTATTTGTCTTGACTTGGCATCTCGGCTTCAGTCATTTTTCCCCACTGCCGTGACGTAACTTTCTTGTGCCTTTTCTATAAATATTTCCATGGTAATTGTTCTGGTGAGCTTTCCTTTTTTTTAGTACATTATGAATTTAATCGTACTACTGGATTGATGGCAAAGTCTCATCTTTACAGTTCAACTGGTTATATACGCAACTCTAAGTCCTATGCTAATAGTTTCTTCTCTCGCACTTCTCGCTTGTGGAACTCTCTTCCAGCTTCTTGCTTTCAAATCAACTTCTATCTTCAAGAATTTAAATGCAACGTTAACCGTTATTGTCTGTCTTAATTCCTGTTCTTTTATGGTTTTCTTTCCTTAATATTTTTTTCTCATCTTCTCTCACACTCACTCACATCTTGCGTCTTAGTGGCTTGGGTGAAATGTTTTAAAAAAATACCTTTTGAACCTTGTATTGGATGAACCGTAGTACAAAAAAAAGTACAAAAAAGAAGTAACCGTAGGATGCAACATTTACATTTTTACAAGTTTTGTGTGTGAGTTAATCTTTGCGTATATTTTAAACAATAAAATCTTATCTTATAACAAACTAGCAGTAGAGCCCGGCGTTGCCCGGGAATGTAACAGTAAGAGATAGATCAAGTATCGACCATCATAAAGACTGAAAAATAAAATTGACAAAGATTATTGTTTAAGGTTGACGGACACGCATGTCTTAATTAGTTTTTTTTTTTTTTTTTTTTTTTACGAATTGGTCAAACCCAAACAAAAACATTGTTTTCAATCGTTATGAGTCTACTGATTGAATAGAATTTTATTATAAACAATTGTCTTGTAAATGGAATTTTTAAAGCATTCTGAATGTAAAAATAAAGAAAAAAAGTGTTGCAAGACAATAAGAAACACTACCTGCCCCCAAAAGTGAAGTTTTGTTGAAATCGGTTGAAAAATGTAGGAAATTTGATCCCATATATAAATGAACACACACACACACACACACACAGACACACACACACAACCAACCTGGGTTTTATAATAAGTGTAACTTGATATTAATAAGTATAACTCGATATGAGTTGACCCCCTTTCATTAATGCCTCTTAATCGTGTTTTCAAATTGATTTCATGCAAAAACAATTGTTTTTCCCATTTTTGGCGCTGTCAGAACCACTGCAAGGTAATTTTACAGTCCTGTGAAGTTTTGTTGAAATCGGTTGAAAAATGTAGGAAATCCAATTCAATATATAAACGTACAGACACACACACACACACAATCTGCGTTTTATAATAAGTAAGATATATTAGTTATTTATCTATTAAGGGCAGGTGGAAATGAGAATTCGTCGAAAAGATGGATAACAAATATTCGCACAAAGATTCTTAGTTTACTACCAATTGCTTTACGGTCATTAGAGGATCGTTTACATTTCATCATCGGCATATGTTATAAAGACTTTAGCTTTTGCCGATGTTGGTGACTTCAGCGAGTCGTTTGATGTGTAGTTGCCAGATTGCCCTAAAGAGTTACGAAAGAAATCATGGCGAGTAGACAAGCTGGCATTCTTGAAGACTGGTATTTCTGAGTCGACTGGCTTAAAACTGATTTACTTTCTTTTTATAACCCTTATGAGGATCACATAACAGAGTTACGATCGTAGGGTGCATGACCTACTCTTTAGGTAGTTTGAAATCGTGAAAGAAGTTATATTAGTTAATCAGGAAATTAATAAAAATGAGAAATAATGTATTGAAGAAAAATCGAATTAAAGCAGGTTTTGTATTTCTTAAGCTATAAAATGTAGTGTGAAAGTATAGTTCAGAGAAATTGATGTCCGATTGAGTTTGATAAAATCGGAAATTGTGTTCTTGAGAATTAAATTTGGGATTAAGTATTGAAAAGATTCATGAGTCTGGAGAAAACGGAATGCAATAATATTAATGTGTTCTCAAGAATGCGAGTTCTTGTTGGAATATACTTCCTTAATTCCAATTTATCGCTTTCTTAAATGATTCTGCAAAAATGACTCCAGCGTTGCGATGGGGGGGGGGACACAAAATTTGGCGAAAGAAAACTCGAATGAAATACTAACCCCCTCCAGAAATGTATAATTTCTTATCAAACTCGAAAGTCCCAAAAATTGACCGATGCGGTAATATCAAAAGCTATCTCGTTTCAGGAGTTTACCAAATCCTGATTCAAGGAATACAACTGTTTTTTTGTTGGTTTTTTTTTTTAGCGGTCGTAGTGGAATATTTAAGGCAGTAACGCCCCAAGAGATTTTGTTTCGTGGTCGCAATGGACATTTGCTGCTCAAAAACGTGTCTACATCTTTAGTGCCATGTCTTCGAAATCTTCGTTGTTCAAAACCAAGAAAAGAGAAAACTGTTTCTGCCTCTCAGACTAACTAGCAAGCTCCTATAACCAAAGCGGAACACGGGAATCTAAGGATTAAAATCCTTTCGCCGATACGTGTATGCTGCTATGAATCAAGAAGCCTGTCGTGACTATTACTAATATTATTAAAAGTGAACACACTATCACAGAGTTCCGATCACACGGCTCTAAGAGTACTTACAGGAAGTGGAGGGATTATTTTGTATCAACTGCTAGGTCAGTTGATTCACTGTGTTTTGCCAGACAATTTTTCTCGTCAGAATTCATCTTACTCATTTATAAATATGCTCTTCGTCCGTGAATTGAATATTGTTGCTATATCTGGTTTGGTGCTCCTACTATCTCGAGATTCTTGACAAAATCCAAAGAACGATCTGTAATGGAATCGATCCTGACCTGGCATCTTGAATTCAGTCACTTTGTCGCCGTCGTGACATAGCTTCCTTCCTTCTGTCCTTTTTACAAATATGTTCATGAACGCGGCACAAAAAGAAAAAGTCTGTCAACTCAAATACTATTTCATCCACACAAATCTGTACCCAGCAACTCGTATTCCACAAAGCAACTTTCCACTCAGACAGCTTTTCCCCAAGAACTGCTACCTTGTGGAACACTCACGTGTGGATGCTTCCCTAAATATTACAGTCTTCAAGTCAAGGGTCAGTCGTTGTCTATCCTCATGATCTTGACCTCTTACATTTATGTCACACACCGCATTTAGTAGCCCTCTGTCTTGAGTGGCTTTCTAGTCTTGTTCTAGGTGGACTTCTTGTATAAAAATATTGGAAGTAGTGCTTCGTTAATACAGTTAAAACGTTGCCGAAAAATTCAACAGGGAAATGTCCGCATTTTAAGAAAAAATCGGAATTGGATCATTTTCGTTTTTGTTCATTCCAAAATATTTTTCAAATCAAAATTTTATTTTAAAATAATTTTTTAACTTAGCTTATATTTTTTTCTATCACAGTATTTCGATTCAAATTACTATTTAATTGCATAACATTTAAACGAAAAAAAATACGTACATTTTTCAAGTCTTTCAAATTTTTCAGTTGGAACTATCCACCACTGAGTGACAGAAATAAAACTTCAAGGCTGAAAACTCACTTTCCAAATCCCACGTTAAATGAACCCGACGTCATAGTTCTTACAATTTTCTTGAAGTATTACTAGTGATTTTTCTTCTTTTACTAATATCTCTCTTTCATCTTCTGTATAACATCTCGTTCTTTAATCCCAGTCCATGTTGTTTACTTAAACGATTGTTTAAAAAATGAATCCATCTTTTTTATAGACATAACCAAAATGGATGCTTTTTTTCCGAAAATAAAAGCAAAAAATCACTACTTCTATTTCAAAATATTTGTCAAAAATCTGGAAATTATCCCCTTCAAACGAAATTTGGAGTACTCATTCATTAATGAATTAATATTTTATCGAATAAGTGTTTTTATTTAAAAAAAAAAAAAAAATGCTTTGAGTAAATGTTTTTTGGGGTTTTTTTCACACCTCTTTTTGATATCGCGTGTGTACTTTTTTAATTTGGTGGGGGGGGAGTCATCCAATTTTTTTTACAAATTTTACAAATATACAACGAAAAATTCCTGAAGATATTATTACAGCTAAAAATAATATCACGTGAAATAGGATTTATTTCCTATACATAGCCCCTTAATGCCTTCAATTGTTTTTCATTATACTAAGTTTAATAAAAGCGTATAGAATAAAAATTTATATTCTTAAACTATTGGTTATATAAGGTTAAAGAAAATTTGTTTTTAAACATAAATAACAAATTTGTTA